TTCTATTGTCCTTGTGATAGCGTAGTGTGTTTAGAGGCTGTTTTTCTACATTTGTTACATAATTATTAAACTGACGAAAGTCGCAATTTGTAAATTTAAAAAACCTCACAAGACATAAGTAATATTTACTTGCTGCTTGTGGAAGTGTTTTTGTAGATTAGGATTCCACGAAATCAAAAATTTCTCGATTGAAATAATGAAAGAACTTTTCTACAAACCTAAAATTACTTTAAGTCGTGCAGAGCGTATAAAAAGGTTAAATTATGAGATGTTTTAGTATGACAGACGCGTTTCGCCTTGCCAACATCCTCCGCGATGGTTATGTTTTGGAGCCCTATAATTTGCTTTAAATTTTTAATTATAAAAAAAAAATTCAATTCTTTTTTTTTTAATTTGGTGTTAAAAATATTTATTTAGAAATCGTGAGATGCGGTCTAGAGATTTCTAAATAAATATCGATTAACGGTCACTAATCACCACACACGTTAAAAATATTTTATAATCTAGGTTTTTGTTTTTTTTTGTTATTTTTGCGAACTAAAATACAAATTTTTTTTATACCATATATTTAATTTAATCCACATCCTTGGTCCCTCTTCAAAGATACAATTTTTGTAACATAAAAACTTCTTTTATTTATTATTCTATAAAAATAATTACCCAAAAAATTAATAAAAGATAGTAGTGCACAAAATAACAAAAGTATATAACTTTATATTCATTATTATTTAGAGACCATGAGATGCGGTTTGGTGTGACGTAGGTTTTAGAAAAAGATTTTCTTTATTGTGCCAACGTTTCGATCTTTATTGAGATCATCTTCAGGGCGTTGTTTTGCTTCCCATTTCAACAAAAAGGTTCTCTGATTGATGCAGATGCAAGTTTCTTTTCAGTGATAGCGATGTCCTTCAGAATCCTCTTTGCTTGTTGTCCATGTGCAATTGATATCTGTTCATAGAATTCCATGTTGTTCTTCGTTCTTCTCATGTAGAGGTGTGTAGTGACCGTTAATTAATGATTATTTAGAGATCGTCAGATGCGGAAAAACTTAGAAAAGCTTTTCTAAACCTACATCACACTATACCGCATCTCAAGATTTCTAATCATTAGTAAAGGGTCAATAAATACTGCACATTCATTGTTGGTTTAACTGGCCAAATGCTTAAAGTAATAAAAAAATTACAATTAATTAAGGTTTTCAGTTGAGATGAAAAAAAGTTAATGGCACGAGCGGGATTCGAACCCACGATCTTCGGCTAGATACGCCGCTGCTCTACCACTTGAGCTATCCATCCGATATAATCCAAACCGATTACACGACATTTGAAAAATGGCAAAAAGGAGGGAAAACTCATAAGGTGGGGTTGAGATAGGAAGTTGATGTCCGAGTGGATCGAGGTCACGATATCTCAAGTGGTAGAGTAGCGGCGTATCTAGCCGAAGATCGTGGGTTCGAATCCCGCTCGTGCCATTAACTTTTTTTCATCTCAACTGAAAACCTTAATTAATTGTAATGATTTAATTGGTCAAGCGGACCACGAAATTAGTGAATTTAAAGTAATAAAAAAAGTTTGTGATGGTTTCTGTTTTTAAAACAATATACTTAAATAATAAAATAAGTACAATTATTCCAGCAAAATAAGTAAAATGGAACAAGTACAATTCAATGTTTATTCATTAAAGTGTTCATGTGATTAGATTTACGCTGAAAAATCAATACAATTTGTGAAAAACAAAATGAAACAACACGAAAAATGTGATAAAAATTGGCAAAAAATTACAGGATTAGATCAACATGTTTTCGAGACAAAACACAAATTTGTTTTTCAAAATATAAATATTCTCACAAAAGAAAAAATGAACTAAAGTTAAATTTGTTAGAAACTATATACCTAAACTTAACCGAAAACAACGTGAATATAAAAATGGACTCACAAAAAATGAACAGCCAATTAAAAAAAATATTTTTATTTTAAAAACCTAGATAATAAATAAATGTAATAATTTAATAGTAAATTTTATTATTATTAAATTTAATAATAATAAATTTACAATGTGCAAACATAATTTTGGACTTTTGTCCAGAAGTGTTGTCACTCCCAGATGTGCTGACCCTAGGGTCTATACCTCAGGAGAGTTCACCTACTCGGTTATGCAGTGGGGTAACCTCTTTCAGCCAGACGCCCAGGAAATCGTCACTTCCCAACAAACGGAGTTAGGCTTCGACGGGAGCTGTCCTCAGCTAGGTTAATTTTTTTTTTTTTTTATCATTGGCCTTATGATCTTTGCATATTAGCCATGACGAATTCTTATCTATGTTGTTCAAATTGGGGGTTATCGGGAAAAAAGGGCCAGAGGCGATGGTGGGAATCGAACCCACGACCGCGGCGTGAGAGTCTCATGCAAACCACTCGGCTACCGCGGTCAGCTAGGTCATTCCAGCCCTAAACGCATGCAAACTACAATCTAGCCTAATAATAATTAAATTCGACAAGTCAGTCGCACAAATAAATACATTTAATAAATACATGCAGCATTGACTCAAGAGCAGTGCCCGTTTGTCATTCGCTTATGACCTATTCTCAATCTGAAAAACAACCATTGTTATTATTGTTACATTTGTATAGTTCACTTCATACTGATTAGTATGATTAGTAATGAGGACCCCATTTTTTAATAACCTTTCTAGAGTTCTATTTAGCTAAAATGACAATAAATCAATATAACGATTGATGTCTAAGTGTTTTAATAAAAAGAAGTATTTATGTATCTACAAAAACCTATTAGTGTTTTAGTTCACAAAAATAACCAACATCCTAGATTATAAAAAAATATTAGTGAAATATATACATATAATAAATTTATTGATTTTATTATTGCTAGTTTGAGTCATAATTGTTATTTTATTTTATTATAATATTTTTTTATCTATTTTCATTGTAAATCAAACGAAGGCCTCTTCCTTTTTTCCCAGGCTTTTTTGACTTTCGTGTTCTTCGGTTAACAGCCTCTCCGCCAATCACAATTTACCTTCTCGCCTTGGAACGTCCTTTCTTCCTAACTTTGTTCCCATCGCCCTCCAACTCCCATTTATGAATATTTAAATATCTGAATTATTTATTGTGACGTTTTGTAATTATTAGTTAATTATTTCAATATTGTAATTGGACGATTCATCATTAAGAACAAAATATTGTAATTAGATGTTCATATTTTTTAACAAAAAAGAACCGAGTGTTTTCATTCCAATTGGCTTTAACCCTGAATTTTTTTAACGTAAAAATCTTTGAAGGGTGATGGTAATTACATCGTAGTTAACTCACATGATTTATTTTATGAGTTATTTTCACATTATTATTTTTATATTAATTACTGCATACTTATTTTAAAGTAAACCGAATTAAACAAGATAAATTCATGAGTTTGAATAAATAATATTTAATTATGAAGGTTTGAAAGAAAATTCATTAAAACATTGGAAAATCATTTAGTGATACATTAATATTTAGCAACAATTTACTACCTAGTTTTGCCCTTAATGCGTTATTGAGAGGAAAAGTAGTTAATAAGTTGTTAGTTAAATTGTTTGTAACTCTAAATGTTTTTCCGGTGTTTTATTGAAAATAACCAACCAAATTTAAAATTACTATCATAATTAAATATTTTTCTTAAACTTCATGAATTTCAGATCTCGTTTAATTTGGATTAAATTAAAGTATCTTGTAATTAATATAACGATAAACCTACTTACATAAATATACATACATAGTTTGAAATAAACAGCAAAATCCAGGTGTCCTTTTTTTTGTCTTTGTGTGTATTGTGGACTTCTTAAAAACTCGAATTTATTTTTTTCATGTTGCAACAAATTAACACATTTTCCGCGTCTAAGTCATACAATCGGATATTGTTATGAAACGAGTGTGCCATTCAGCACTCAGACAGTAATATAAAAACTTAATTGGACATCTGGAATGATATCGACTGTCAAACGTTTCAGACGATTCACTAGTTTTCGTGGTCCTCTTGACCAATTAATATTTTTCAATTAATTAAGGTTTTCAGTTGAGATAAAAACGTCAGTGTCGCGAGTGGGATTCGAACCCACGACCTTCGGCTAGATACGCCGCTACTCTACCACTTGAGCTATCGTGACTTCCGATCCACTCGGGCACTAACTTCCCATCTCAACCCCACCTTTTTTATTTTCCCTCCTATTTGCCATTTTTCAAATGTCGTGTAATCTACTTGATTCTCGACGACAAATGAAATAGCCACGGAGAGCTTTAGTGAAGTATACTTCATTTTAACTTATTAAATTCACTATTTTTCGTGGTCCGCTTGACAAATTAATATCTTTCAATTAATTAAGTTTTTAGTCACGGATCGGAAGTCACGATAGTTCAAGTGGTAGAGTAGCGGCGTATCTAGCCAAAGGTCCTGGGTTCGAATCCCGCTCGTGACACTGACTTTTTTATCTCAACTACAAACGTTAATTAATTGAAAATTTCAGATGATGTTACAACTTAATTTAGTATCTGTGCTTTTTTTAAAGTGTTTTCTTGTAACGGACTTGATGTTTAACAATATGATCAAGAAGGCTAATTGGTCATTTTTTAAATTAATTACATAAATTAATAGAATACTTGAGGTGATCAGTTTCAAAATATTCCATTTTCAAAATATTTACAGGAAAGACAAAAGATGTTTTAGAGCCACGCTTATGGATTAGACCTTTTTTTGTTTTTGGGTTAGATTTTTTTGCGAAGAAGGAAGGTCTCTAAACATTTAAGGCATAGTTTTCAATATTGTATTTTTTCCATGTTGCCAAAATTTAAATTTTTGATCGAAGCAATCTGATTTTGCTAACCAATCATTTTGGTAGTTATAGGTTGAAATTACTCTCAATTTATTGGTCCAATTCCGTCCTATTTTCGTAAACCTAGTTTCAATAAAAACAAAACAATATTTCGATTTCTTAGGTAGGAAAAAAAATTAAGTATAAATAAAAAATTTATTGAAGAAAAACAGCTTAGACGGTGAACATTGCATTGAAACGGTATTAATCTAAATCCATGAGTTTGGACGCATTTGCACTGGATTGACTCGCTTTTGGTCAAAACGGCGTTGATAGTTGCTGTAATGCATTGATGACCTGTAAAAATTTTAAAAAAATGTTTTGAAAAAATGTGGCTTGAGCCGTTTTTGGTCAAAGCTTTTTTGCTGGTTGTTATAATACATCGATGTCTTGTGAAAAATTGCAAAAAATGTGGATTTGAAACTAATTGTCTCACTTGATGTCGCAAGTAATTTTGTACATGTTTTCGACGCCTTTTAATTGAGAAAGCTGTTAAACTCTCTCCTACTGAAATAAAACTAACGGAGCGATAATTGACAGAGTCAATTAATAAAACGAGTTTCATAAGCGGTGTTGAAAAAAACATTAAGATCGTGAAAACAAAATTCTCGCTTTTTGGTATTCCTTTATCCGTGTTTTTGTTAATGGGCCTTGGGTATGTTTTTCCAAAATAGTGCCCAAAAGAATAACCGGCAAGGCTGGAAGTTTCGCTCTGGGCCGGAGCACCGTGTAAATAAATGACGATCCATGACTAAGAACTTTGACCCTATCGTGACGCTTTTTCTGCATCGCCTATATTCAAAAAGTCAAGAATCTAAGCAATTTTGTGTTATTTGAGGTCATCAGAAGTGCTTGTTATAGTCATTATTTTAGAAAAACCTTGAAAACTAGTTAACGACAAAATGACCAGAATGCATTTATGCTGACAACGGTCTGTCGTTTCAAAACAAAACAGAATCCTTACCATATTTCTGTTTTAGAAAACAAAAGAAAATATTTACTTATATTGCATGACAAAACATGGTCACTAGAATTAAAAAGGTATTTGAATTGCAAATTCAATAAAAGCTGTATTTACAATCGCATTTATTTCAAAATTGGCAGAACAATAGAATCTTGTGGATATTTCGGCAAACTTATGCTTTCTAACTATGGAACTTATTTAAAACACGCATACATAAAATGGTGGTGAAATAAAAATTTCTTTTTAGATAGACAAGGACATTTGCTAGAACAAGAATTTGATAGTTGTAAGAAAATCACTATATACTATGTACTAAACTAAATTATGAATTTTTTATATCTTTTAAATTAAGGGTTAAAATTCTGTGATTTAAGAATAACATCGAAATAAATTAAATAAAAATAAAGCAAAATAAAAAATGTAAAAACTACATAATCATTTCGGTTTTTAAAAAAATTGATGTGCAAGTTCCAAAATTCGTTAACAAAAAAGGAAGATCGTCTTTACCTGATTTTATTTGTTATCTTCACCAGTCATCTTTTCTAATCCCTGTTGAGACTCGATTCCTTTTAATGTATCGTACTTATAGGACAAAGTGCATTTTTTGTTGGTTTTATCAAAAATCATCAATTTCAAAACAGATAATCTTTGGTTAAATAAACGTCCAGTTTTTTCTTTTACTCTTAAAAGCTCAATTTAAAAAATGTTTTGTCGTCGTATTTATTTGTAATAATTTTAATCCCATGATTCCAGGTTAATTGTAGACAAGACACCTAAAATCGTCACATCCAGGTTTGTGACTATGCCGCGCTCGCGCGCGGGTGTGTGTGTGTGTGTGTGTGTGTGTGTGTGTGTGTGTGTGTGTGTGTGTGTGTGTGTGTGTGTGTGTGAGTGTGTGTTTGAGAGAGAGAGAGAGAGAGAAAGAGAAAAATAAAAACAACGGAAAATAAGAAGAAAATAGTATGCATAATAATGATTTAACCTCTAAATCTATTCACACACTTTATTACTTCTCGTTTATTTTTAAGATCTGCATTTTTCCTTGGGCCCTTAAAGAATATATAATAAGAATATAAAGTATTGTTCATTTAATTGCAGTTTCTTGGCCTCTTGCCATAAAGTGATGTGAATTCCCATTGACAATTAAATAGACCGGAATAATATTAATATAATAGTAATACTTTATTTCAAATCATAGATTATTGTATATTTTTTCCGGAAGTAAGGTGGGGTATGGTTAATAACAAGTCTGCCGGAGTAAATAACCTAACAATAAATAAAATAATAATAAATGCATAACATAATTACTTAATTATTCAGAAATCGTGAGATGCGGTCTGGTGTGATGTAGGTTTCAGAAATACATTTTCTTTGTCGTGCCAACGTTTCGATCTTTATTGAGATCATCTTCAGGGCTCAAAGTGTTTGTCTTCAGTGTAATTGTGCCATTCTTGCGTGTCGTGGGCGCTCTCAACACGCCTTGGACACAATTACACAGAAGACAAACACTTTGAGCCCTGAAGATGATCTCAATAAAGATCGAAACGTTGGCACGACAAGAAAATGTTTTCTGAAACCTACATCACACTAGACCGCATCTCACGATTTCTGAATAATTATCGACTAACGGTCACTAATCACCACACGTAATTACTTAAAAAACTACACTAAACTAAATTTAAGGGTAATTATCCTAAATTTGAACCTACAAACAGAACAAAGTGCCTAAAACATTAGCACTTTGGAGAGTATTTTTTTAAGAGGGTTCGCAACAGCAGAGGTTATATTATCCCTTCGATTCGAACCCGGGACCTTTACCTTACTGTGATGAGCGCCGTGTCAACGCCTAAACCGTTGCGGCTACCGACGCCCCCACCACTGGGAGTAATTACTTTATTATTTAAAGTATATTAGAAATTAAATTCCTTCACAAGCTCATATCTATATAGCCAGGCCTGACGCGCGTACCATATGACAACACGATTGCTTAACTGTTTCTACTAATCAAACTATCTACTAGTTATTATTTTGTAACAGTAGAAGAACCCAAATGTAATCGTCTTATATCACCTAGTATAACCACATTCTACCAAAAAGTGGAATACACTCTCCTGGCTTCTTGATTTACGAATAAACGCCTGGAATAAACCACGGAAAGCTCGGCACAGCCCAAAAAGTTGTTTTTGCTCCTCTGAACAAGATCAAGATGACCTCTGAAAATCTTATCATACAAACTTAACTTGCTGCAGGTCGATAAACGTCCAAAACGATCAATTTACCCCCTCTCCTACAGACCATAATCTTTGATTTCTGGAGGTTTACAGTCAAATTCCAATGCTCGCAGAAGATTACAACATTTTAATATTTTTCTGGAAACTTGTGACTGTATTTTAATTTTAATAACAGTATCCCCACCGCGATTTCTACCTCCAGAACAGCAGGAAGTTCGTCTACAAATAGACCGGAATTATTATAGAATGTTAATCTTGCAGGAAGTTTGAAATAAATAACACGCCATCGTTTCGTATTTTCCTTTAAAAAACGCACTATTTGAAATGCATCTAAAACAATTGTAATTGTAATTAAATGATTATTTTCATTTTTTATATAATCTGCGCTTGTCGTACTATAAAATTGTATTAAAAATGAAAATTTATTGTTTTATTAGGCACTTTATTTTTAACTTATTTTTTAAAATTCTTATAGAATATTATAATTGATCTCTCTCACTCTCTCTTTCTCTTTCACTCACTCACTCCCACACTCTTCATTATCATCTCCTGTCCTTTATTGAAAAATTGTGTTATTTATTTCCTATAGTAAGAAACCAAAATTCAAATGTGATGATTGTAGGTTGTAACAAAGATTTATTGAAAACTGGTAAACATAAATAATTGGAAACATCTGGTCTCAATGATTTTACCCTGGGCCTAGATTCCAGTTTTTTTTTAAGAAAAATTTGGTTAAAAGAATTAATGGCAGGATTTTATTGAATTATTTTTATTGAAAAAGAATTGTTAGAATTACCTCACTAATTTTATACTGTATATCGACGTGATGTCCAAAGATTTGAATCTCAAATTATTGTAAAGTTTCCATTAAATGATAAGACCCGTGTCTGGCTGGAATTAAATTACAACCTTTTTTTTATAAAATACCAAAGCATAAATTATTACGTTGGCGAATTTGAACTTTTTTACATTTTAATGATACTGGTTTTTGACAATTAATGTTGAAAACAATGATATAGCTGCTACGCCGTACAATAATTAATTTAATACATATATAAAAAATATAAAATAAATATTTTATAAGGATAAAATCTTGAAAAGCCATCATTGATTTGAGTACTAATAAATCCTCAGAACCAACCATTTTTTATCCACCCGGCCTAAATGCTTTATATATTTACATTGTTTTTTGTGGAATAAACCATAAAGAACAAATCATTATGTGATTGTTGGATGATGGTGTGTGGAAGATGACAAAAAAAAAGGAAACAACATACTGAAATTCTTTAGCCTATCGTTTTGAAAAATCCAATTGTAAACACAAGTGGGCGAATTTATCTGTTTTATTTACCTCTAATCCTTTAAAACGAACCAATTATTGTTTTTTACGAGGGTTCGCAACAGCAGAGGTCATATAAACCCTCAGGGTGCCGGTGTTTTTGAAAAATTATTGTTGTAAGAATATTTTACGAAGAAAATAAGTTTTCTTTCTAATCATCTCATCTTGATCTTTTTTTATTTACAATTCTTATATTTCTTATTACAGTTTGCTGTGACAGAAATGTGAGGGCGTCCGAGTCATATTTGTCAATTTTAGCGGTCGTACATATAATTTTGGACGTTGCTGTTGGAATTTTCTTGGATGTTTTACATGCATAAGCATTTTATTACGTAATGTAATGAGTTCTGACTGAATCATCGTAGCAGAGTAGTATGACTGGGATTTCTTTACTTTAGTTATATTGGAGACTCTTTTGCCAAGTTTAAATAGAAATTTATAATTTATTATTAGATTCGATGAAATAGAATCGGTCTTCAGAAAGCCCAGGAGCCGGTAGTTTTCCTTCCAAGGAATTAAAGGCGGAATGAGTCAAGGGCATTCCTTAATAGTTTGAAAATTTGGATCCTCATAACCCAATGGAAAATCCAGGTTCCATTTTTACGTCAACAGACGACTATCGTCAGTCTTGGCCGATATGGTGTAAAGGTGCCTGGTGGGGAGGATGGAGACCAAGTTCACCAGACCCGGCCCCAAGTCCACAGTTCCACACGAGAGAGGGCCACAGTCGTTCAAGGGCGCTTGTTACATTCATCAAGGGACGTCTTGACTTGCCGAAAAGCGAGCACCCAGTTGTAAAGTGAGGGTCGAACTGCAAGCACCGGAAGATGAGTAAGTCTTTCACCACAAAACATAAGAACCGATGATGTACATCTGTTGTACGTCTGCCTGTTTAACAGGGTTAACGAACTTCGCGCACGACCCGCCTCATTCTTAATCGGCTCACCGACCCTCGGGTCTCAGCAGATGCAATAAATCCGACAGACAGTCGATCAAGTTAAAGAAACGTTAGTTATCGCGGATTAAATAATATCTATCTATTTTCACATAATCACCTCGTTGATGAAATCGGAAACGTATTTTTTAACATGGAAAATGATCAATTTTTTAAAGTGAGTGACATCTAACTAATTATATCTCTCTAAACAGGTACCATCTGTACCTTAAGGACGATATGAACCATACACAGATAGTTTTTCAATTTCTAGAGGAAACTTTAGATAGTTTAACTTTAAACAGGTTTCTTCTAATACATAAAAAACTGTAAATCAAATTCAAAAGAGCTCTTACATCTATGCTCTAGCTAAACTCAAAAAATGGTCGAAAATTACATAATGTTTGAGACTTTTGTTTCGTTCTATAGCAAACGGTTTTATTAAAGAAAGTGTAAGAATCGGTAAACAGAACACTTCCAATTGAGTCAATGTTTTGGACGGATTGCATTGTTGGTGTATTTAAATTTGGCAAATTGACAATTTAAAAAAAAAGTAACAAATACATTTTATACCATTTAACGTTTAAAGCCAAGTTTGGCAGGCCTAAATTAATGATTCTCGTGAACAATACTGGTACAGTATCTAAAAATTCGTTTTTCTCATCTCGGATTTGAACCAAACTAGAAAATATACAAATATCCTGAAATCCATCAACCAAAAAATATAATTACAAAATACATTTTTTATATATACATAACTCTTTCAAACTGAAAATTTTATTTAAATTTATTAAAATCGTTTTATTAGTTACGCTCACACTTAATACATGCCAAATCCAAACGAGTTTTTCTTCAGAACTCAATAAAATAAAAAAGCTCATTATTCTGTCTTCTACTTACTTTCTACGTAAATTTTCAATCTTAACCTTGCGGAAAATATTTAGTTCATATATTATAAATTTATAATGAACGGACTATTATAACGGGCACAACGAATCACAAAAATCGGTAAAAGTCTATTTTCCTCTTAGAGATTTTTTTATCAATGTTGATATATTTAAATTTGGCTAATTTTTATTATAAAAGATAGAATATAGAGGAAAAAGATAGGAAATATTAAATGTATCGAAAACGAATGAGAAATTTGAAAAGTGTTACTCAATTTATTTTAAACAAATATAAATTTTACATTTGAGGACCTGTTTAAGAATACAAAACTGACCAAGATGCATCGATGCTGGTAGTTCAAGCATGTAGAAAGTCGTTTGATTCCACATAACAACTATGTACAACACTTCAAATCACGCCTTATAAGATTGGAAAATTAAATATTTAAATGTATACAGATTAAAACGCATTAGCAATAATATACTTTTATTCAGGCATCATAATTTGTGATGTTTATGTTGTTTACTATTAAATAGAACATTCTACAATTCGATCTTTAAAGTTTTAGGTTTTCGATTTTTTTCTATAATTCGTTTAAATTTTTTGAGCTAGCAAATTACATCGGTCATCCCCAACCGTGTTTTTTTTAACCTTTATCTTGTTTTAAATCTACTTATTTATTTTTCTAATTCTCCAGCGAAGTTATGATATCGATTGATATAACGGTAACCAATATAACGGTCTTTCTTCTTTATCCTATTGTACTCTCTGTACTTGCCTCTGAACTCCGAGGCCTCGTCAATTGTTGACCAAAGTAATACTAATAACAAACAAATACACAGAAACAAGGTAAAAATATAATAGTCCGCTTCGCATTCACACTACCCCAGAGAACTCGATATTCGTCGGGGTATTTGGTGATATGCCGTTCCGTTCGCGCTAATAAATCACATTAAGACACCAGACATCGTTCACACTACCCCAGAATACACAATATTCCTCGGTGTAATTGGGGATAAACTCTGCCATTTACGCTAATAAATTACATTCAGGACCACTCGATATTCCTCGGGGTAATTGGGGGATTAGTTTCTGAAGATCCTAATAAATCGATAATGTATCAAACTGTTTATTTACTATTTAATAATTCAATTTCAAAATATCATACATAGATCATACAATAGATAACTTTCTAAAACTTGTGCTAATGCAAGATTAGGTTGAAAAGCAGTAACCTGCACAAAAAATATCTTTCTATCCCGTATTTAATCGATTAATGATATACCTATAGCAATTTCTCCCAAAAAGTGATTCAAATTCATAAATTTAAAAAGTACAAATGGATTTTTTGTATAATTTATTACTAAAATATATCATAAAAGAACCGTAAATATAAAAATTTTTGTATTTTTAGAACTTTTTTTGAAAATGCACCGTTAAGTATAAGTGTGTGGTGATTAGTGACCGTTAATCGATAATTATTCAGAAATCGTGAGATGCGGTCTGGTGTGATGTAGGTTTCAGAAAAACATTTTCTTTATCGTGCCAACGTTTCGATCTTTATTGAGATCATCTTCAGGGCCTGGGATTTACAAACATTGTTTACATTAATCAAATACATTTAGGATGTGGAAAAGTGAATTTATACAATGCAAAATATATTTTTTATATTCAATCAACGAAACGTTGGCACGATAAAGAAAATGTTTTTCTGAAACCTACATCACACCAGACCGCATCTCACGATTTCTGAATAGTGAAGTATAAGGTTTTATTTCTTCATTAGCACAGCTTGCCGAAACCTTGTACTTTCGAACTATTTTTATAAAAATCACCTTCAAGAAAAGGCCTAAAATAATAAATATTTAAAAATCCACAAAAATGGGCAAAGAAGGACACCAAAAACATTGTCAACAACAGTTACATTGTTATCATAATAGTGTTATAAATGTTTGACAAATCGCAATGACACATGTTTACAAATCTTGACATTGAGACCTTCGCCCCTAAATTATTAAGCTCCGGGAGGGAATCATCATTTATAATTCATCCGCCGGCCAGGAAAAAAGCAATTGGGGGTTCCTTTTTTCTTTCCGGAAGCAGGAGGGCACGTAGGCGCATTTCTTCGATTACGCCTGTAGGAACGAGATCCTCGAGGCCACGTCTCCATCTCAAACTTTCACCACATTTCTTAACCGAAACGCGTTTCAGATGAAATTGAGTTCGACGAAGAATAAACATCAGATCCCCTCTGAGGTCACAGACGTAGTGAATGTGCTTTTGGGTTGATAAGAAATTGTCTAAATTAGCCCTGATTTCTATTATTCATAAACTCATAACAAAACATAATGGGGTGAAACGTGTTTCCCACGGGCGAATTTGCGGGTCTTGGGCTAACAAGGGGTTGGGCCACCAAAATTAAGGGCTTACTGTTAAGAAAAATAGAGAAAGCCGTCGGTTTTCGAACGATAATAGGTCTAACGCAATTCCAAAATTGTCAGTCATTTAAGAGCGAGAGTTTCCTAATTACATTTGGGACCAATTTTCTATTTCTTGTTATATAAATTAGGTAGCGAAAATGGGTTTAATAACAAACTGAATATCCAAAAAAATCTGTAAATAATTTACATGTTACTTCTTGCTTTTGAAAATTCACGTTTTAGCCTCATATGGTTTTTCTTTTTTTTTTACAAGGGGTTCGCAACAGCAGAGATCATATAAACCCTCAGGGTGCCGGTGTTTTTGAAAAAAAGCCCATTTGTAAGTATGCAGGGCCGCTGGATTCGAACCCGGGAACTTTACTTTACAGTCAACGCCTAAACCGTTGCGGCCACCGACGTCCCCCCTGCCTCATATGTTATATTAAAATTTCCCCTTACCTAAGTGTTTATTGTTATTAAACATGAAATGGTGAAAAATTAATGGGTAGTAACGCAATTTTTGCACAATAAAAATAATGTCATTAAATCTGAAATCGGTATAAACTTGTCTGAAAAAGACATTATCATCGCCGATCACTCGATGAATAAACTGACTGAACTTTGTCAAACCGTCCTTTCTCCCCTTTGTTATCTGACAAAAAATTGTCGCTTATATAGTTAACAACAATAATCTCGATGTGATTACACGTTGTAGCAGGATCGAGGTCGCAAACGTATCTTTTAAAATGTCTTTTATGTCGGATACTTTTTTTTAAATGCTAAAGCAGGGAATCGCAATTAAGTAAACAAATAAAGGAAGTCCCTGTTTTGAGAAAACCTTTAGTTATCATTTTGTTTTTTAAATACTACTGGCATGTTTCTCGTCAGTTCATTCGACAATTTGACAGTAATGCAAAAAAAATTACTTGAGTTCAGCAGACAATAAAAGGAAGTTGCTCTTTTCAAAAAGCTTTTTAAAAAACTTGACTTCATTCAAAATTTGTTTTGTCGGAGAAAGAAAGAAGAAGGAGAAAGTCAGAAAAGAAATTGCTCTTTTCAGAAAGATTCTTGTTTAAAATGTGATTTATAAAAAGTACTAGCTTGTTTCTTGTTAGTTTTTCTACTGTTGACAATTTACTAAAAGTATAATGTAATCATTTCCTACAACTTCATTATTAGAAACAAATATTTACTTAAGTTATTTTATAATTGAGTTGATCTTAAGTGGAGGTTCCTCTTTTCAGTAAGCATAAAATTTATTTTATAAAGAGTACTAGCATGATTCTTGTTAGATTTTCTACTGTTGACAATTGACTAAAAGTATAACTTAATCATCTACATTTTTTACATCTTCATTAATAGAAACAAATATTTACTTAAACTACTTTATAATTCAGTTGATCAAAAATGGAAGTAACTCTTATGAGGAAGCTTAAAATTTGTTTTTTGAAGAGTACTAGCATGTTTTATGTTAGTTTTTATTCTGTGGACTGGTTACTGTTGGCAATTGACTACAAGTATAACTTAATCATCTGCATTTTTTACATCTTCATTAATAGAAACAAACATTTACTTAAGTTACTTTATAA